AATGGGCGCCACACGACCCTATGCGGGTGGGCTCCCGTTCGGTACCTTATTCGTTTCACGAACAGTGTTTAAAGTCCCTGTTCGTGAAACTACCATATGCATGCTAGCAGCTTTCGGCTGTTAGCCTATGCAGGCTCTCTATGCTAAAACACACAAATATATTTTTACACCAGGTTAACACAGCTATTTCAAACAACCTTTAAATGTTCTGCAATATGACCTAAAGTGGCTAGGTTTGCCACAGTATACATTGCTGGTTGCACTTTTTGCATTTTATCAAGCTATATTAGGTCTATTGCAAGTGTTCCACTATGTGTTCTACTGTTTATTGTGTTTGGGGATACACTTTGTAGTAGTCTGCAGCTGATTAATTATATACCAAAACAACAATTTCACACCTAGAACTTCATTATAGCGCCATTATACACACCTTTATTTTTTTAATAAGTGACCTGTCTCAGTAAGGTTGCTGCTAGGTCCAGTTAAGTGGCATTCAGTGAGCAGCCCAGAAATCAGCTGAAACTGAAATGGCAGAAATGGACACCAGTTTCGAATTGGCCTTTTTAATAAAGGCTTTGTGGGTTGCCATCTGCATTAAATGCCTACTTTTTATACCATGTCCTGTTCTTTCCCATTATTAGGTATGGCTGCATAAGTTATCAGACAGATGATCTCCCCCAAGCTGTATTTTTCTATTCCCGTCTGCCACGAGCTGCGACTCTGCGAGTGTGTTCACTGTGGGTTGTGGTCAGGATGAACAACTCCTTTTTAGCTTTGTCCTGGCAGAGAGCAGTCGTTTCAATTCCCGTCTGCCACGAGCTGTGACCCTGCGAGTGTGTTCACTGTGGATTGTGGTCAGGATGAACACCCTTTTTATCTTTGTCCTGGCAGCGAGCAACCATATCTATCCCCATCGCTGCGACCCTGCGAGTGCGTTCACTGTAGATTGTTGTCAGGATTTAAACAACCTTTTTTATCTTTGTCCTGGCAGAGAGCAGCCGTTTTGATTCTCGTCTGCCACGAGCTGCGACCCTGCGAGTGTGTTCACTGTGGATTGTGGTCAGGATGTAAACCTTTTTAATCTTTGACCCCGCAGAGAGCAGCCTAGAAATCAGCTGAAACTGAAATGGTTTTCCCCCCTTTTTCATTTCTTTCTTTTCTGCTAGAGCCTTTGAGAAACTTGTATGACTTTTTCTGATTGTGCCGCCGGTCAGTCTCATTTTAACCAATTACAGGTATATACAAGGGTGATAGCCCTTGTTTAGAAAGGGGTTGGTTAGGTCCACTAGTTGCAACCTGGGGAATCCCAGAGGCTAGTTTTGTTATTAGGGGTACACCGTGATCAGCGCCATGGGAATCGGCACTTTCTACTGAGGGTCCTGCAGTAAGTGGCAAAGAGTCTTCACCAGCATCGCTCTCTGAGGCTGTGGCCTCTGAGTCGGCCATTAAAATTTAAAAGTTCTCCCCGGCGCTAATCTTCCAAAGCATAGTGTACAAAACTGGAACTTTTTTTTTTTTTTTAAACATTTTTGATAACTATTATTTTTCACTTTATTTTACTTTTCACCCCCTAACTAACACTAAATTCACCAATTTCCACTATCTCCAGCTAACAATCACCAAATGAAAAATAATAAAATGTAAAAAAAATCAATTTGACCTTTGAGGGTGAGCTGTATTCTGTAAGTAGAGCGAGGGGGATTTGAAATATGAGCAGCACTATGATCACTGTGACTTGCTATCACATCAATCACATGGTCTGGGACATCACGTTTTGCTGCTGGTGTGCCTCGGACACCAAGGTACCTAGCAGCATTAAGCCCACGATCACAGCAACTGCGGCAATCTGGCATTCATTTTAGTACATGGCAGAATATTTCCACCCAACGTCGAAGGGGGTTGGCATGCACAGCTAAGGGTTAAAGAGAATGTGTGCAAGGTTTGTTAAGTTGTTCTATTGGCCAGCCCTCTAGGCTGTGACAGAATGTTTGTTACTGTAGCAATCTCTTTGTGTCTGCTATTACAACATGTCAATGCACACCTCATTTAAAGGACCACTCTAGGCACCCAGACCACTTCAGCTTAATGAAGTGGTCTGGGTGCCAGGTCCTTCTAGGGTTAACCCATTTTTTCATAATTATAGCAGTTTCAGAGAAACTGCTATAATTATGAATGGGTTAAGCCTTCCCCCTAATCCTCTAGTAGCTGTCTCATTGACAGCCACTAGAGGCGCTTGCGTGCTTCTCACTGTGAAAATCACAGTGAGAGCACGCCAGCGTCCATAGGAAAGCATTGTAAATGCTTTCCTATGAGACCGGCTGAATGCGCGCTCAGCTCTTGCCGCGCGTGCGCATTCAGCCGGCGGGGCGGATCGGAGGCGGAGAGGAGGAGGAGAGCTCTCCACCCAGCGCTGGAAAAAGGTAAGTTTTTACCCCTTTCCCCCTTCCAGAGCCGGGCGGGAGGGGGTCCCTGAGGGTGGGGGCACCCTCAGGGCACTATAGTGCCAGGAAAACGAGTATGTTTTCCTGGCACTATAGTGGTCCTTTAACGCTGTATTTATTCTTTTTTCATTGGTCATTTTAAGTAGTTTTGATTGATACTTCTAGAGTTGTACAGATGACTATTTCCACACGTTGCTGTGTACGCGGACTTTACGAAGAACGTAAGGAAATTACCTTTGCCCCATTACATAGCACTGCACTCCGCTGAAAGATCCAGGAACTCCTCTTTATTGCAGCAGCCGTGGCTGGGAAGTTCAGCCTCTCCGGTGAAACGCCGATTACTCCAAGTGAGAGGGACGATGTCCAGCGGGGTGAGAGCTGATCTATCCGGACCTGAGGAGAGAGACGGAGTCTATTCACTAAATGCTATATCAGATTTCATTCTACGTGGTATTGCTGTATTCACTTACAACCAAACACTAAGAAAGGCAGTGAGTTTTATTTTGAATAAAAAATTATTTCTGTATTAGGATTAAAAAATAAAATAAAATAAAAATTAAATAAAGCTGTTTAGACAATAGAATGATTTGTGGGGAAATCTGGGGTCTAGTTATAAGTTTCCTTCAAAATAGGATGTCTTACAGTTATCACATCATCACTAAAATCCGGCTTTATCCTGAACCTGAGAAGCAAACGCAATGTGACATCACTTAAACTCAGCTCTACCCTAATTCCCAGAGGGAGACGCTATGTGACATCATCACTAAAACCCAGTTCCATCCTAATCCCGAGAGGGAGACGCTATGTGACATCACTAAAAACCCAGCTCTACCCTGATCCCGAGAGGGAGACGCTATGTGACATCACTAAAAACCCAGCTCTACCCTGATCCCGAGAGGGAGACGCTATGTGACATCACTAAAAACCCAGCTCTATCCTGATGCCGAGAGGGAGACGCTATGTGACATCACTAAAAACCCAGCTCTATCCTGATCCCGAGAGGGAGACGCTATGTGACATCACTAAGACCCAGCTCTATCCTGATCCCGAGAGGGAGACGCTACGTGACATCACTAAGACCCAGCTCTATCCTGATCCTGAGAGGGAGATGCTATGTGACATCACTAAAACCCAGCTCTATCCTGATCCCGAGAGGGAGATGCTATGTGACATCATCACTAAAACCCAGTTCCATCCTAATCCCGAGAGGGAGACGCTATGTGACATCACTAAAAACCCAGCTCTATCCTGATGCCGAGAGGGAGATGCTATGTGACATCACTAAAACCCAGCTAGGGTGAGCTCTATCCTGATCCCGAGATGGTGAGCTCTACAGCCTATGTGACATCACTAAGACCCAGCTCTATCCTGATCCCAGAGAGGGAGGCTATGTGACATCACTAAGACCCAGGCCTATCCTGATCCCGAGAGGGAGATGCTATGTGACATCACTAAGACCCAGCTCTATCCTGATCCCGAGAGGGAGATGCTATGTGACATCATCACTAAAACCCAGTTCCATCCTAATCCCGAGAGGGAGAGCTATGTGACATCACTAAAACCCAGCTCTACCCTGATCCCGAGAGGGAGACGCTATGTGACATCACTAAAACCCAGCTCTACCCTGATCCCGAGAGGGAGATGCTATGTGACATCACTAAAACTCAGCTCTACAGAATCCTGAGAGGGAGATGCTATGTGACATCACTAAGACCCAGCTCTATCCTGATCCCGAGAGGGAGACGCTATGTGACATCACTAAGACCCAGCTCTACCCTGATCCCGAGAGGGAGATGCTATGTGACATCACTAAAACTCAGCTCTACAGAATCCTGAGAGGGAGATGCTATGTGACATCACTAAAAACCCAGCTCTACCCTGATCCCGAGAGGGAGACGCTATGTGACATCACTAAAAACCCAGCTCTACCCTGATCCCGAGAGGGAGACGCTATGTGACATCACTAAAAACCCAGCTCTACCCTGATCCCGAGAGGGAGACGCTATGTGACATCACTAAAAACCCAGCTCTATCCTGATCCCGAGAGGGAGATGCTATGTGACATCACTAAAACTCAGCTCTACAGAATCCTGAGAGGGAGATGCTATGTGACATCACTAAGACCCAGCTCTACCCTGATCCCGAGAGGGAGAAGCTATGTGACATCACTAAGACCCAGCTCTATCCTGATCCCAAGAGGGAGACGCTATGTGACATCACTAAGACCCAGGCCTATCCTGATCCCGAGAGGGAGATGCTATGTGACATCACTAAGACCCAGCTCTATCCTGATCCCGAGAGGGAGATGCTATGTGACATCATCACTAAAACCCAGTTCCATCCTAATCCCGAGAGGGAGACGCTATGTGACATCACTAAAAACCCAGCTCTACCCTGATCCCGAGAGGGAGACGCTATGTGACATCACTAAAAACCCAGCTCTACCCTGATCCCGAGAGGGAGACGCTATGTGACATCACTAAAAACCCAGCTCTATCCTGATCCCGAGAGGGAGATGCTATGTGACATCACTAAAACTCAGCTCTACAGAATCCTGAGATGGAGATGCTATGTGACATCACTAAGACCCAGCTCTACCCTGATCCCGAGAGGGAGAAGCTATGTGACATCACTAAGACCCAGCTCTATCCTGATCCCGAGAGGGAGACGCTATGTGACATCACTAAGACCCAGCCCTATCCTGATCCCGAGAGGGAGATGCTATGTGACATCACTAAGACCCAGCTCTATCCTGATCCCAAGAGGGAGATGCTATGTGACATCACTAAGACCCAGCTCTATCCTGATCCCGAGAGGGAGATGCTATGTGACATCATCACTAAAACCCAGTTCCATCCTAATCCCGAGAGGGAGACGCTATGTGACATCACTAAAAACCCAGCTCTATCCTGATGCCGAGAGGGAGATGCTATGTGACATCACTAAAACTCAGCTCTACAAAATCCTGAGAGGGAGATGCTATGTGACATCACTAAGACCCAGCTCTATCCTGATCCTGAGCGGGAGAAGCTATGTGACATCATTAAGACCCAGCTCTACAAAATCCTGAGAGGGAGATGCTATGTGACATCACTAAGACCCAGCTCTATCCTGATCCTGAGAGGGAGAAGCTATGTGACATCATTAAGACCCAGCTCTACCCTGATCCCGAGAGGGAGACGCTATGTGACATCACTAAGACCTAGCTCTATCCTGATCCCGAGAGGGAGACGCTATGTGACATCACTAAAACTCAGCTCTACAGAATCCTGAGAGGGAGATGCTATGTGACATCACTAAGACCCAGCTCTATCCTGATCCCGAGAGGGAGATGCTATGTGACATCACTAAGACCCAGCTCTATCCTGATCCCGAGAGGGAGACGCTATGTGACATCACTAAAACCCAGTTCCATCCTAATCCCGAGAGGGAGACGCTATGTGACATCACTAAAAACCCAGCTCTATCCTGATGCCGAGAGGGAGATGCTATGTGACATCACTAAAACCCAGCTCTATCCTGATACCAAGAGGGAGACGCTATGTGACATCATCACTAAAACCCAGCTCTATCCTGATCCCGAGAGGGAGATGCTATGTGACATCATCACTAAAACCCAGCTCTATCCTGATCCCGAGAGGGAGATGCTATGTGACATCACTAAAACCCAGCTCTATCCTGATCCCGAGAGGAAGACGCTATGTGACATCATCACTAAAACCCAGCTCTATCCTGATCCCGAGAGGGAGATGCTATGTGACATCACTAAAACCCAGGTCTATCCTGATCCCGAGAGGGAGATGCTATGTGACATCACTAAAACCCAGCTCTATCCTGATCCCGAGAGGGAGATGTGATGTGGCATCACCAAAACCCAGCTCTATCCTGATACCAAGAGGGAGAAGCTATGTGACATCACTAAAACCCAGCTCTATCCTGATCCTGAGAGGGAGATGCTATGTGACATCACTAAAACCCAGCTCTATCCTGATCCTGAGAGGGAGATGCTATGTGACATCACTAAAACCCAGCTCTATCCTGATGTTAATTTTACATCATTAAATGTACCTGGAAAAGGAAAAGGCGAGGCAGTGGCTGAGCCAGAACCACAATTCCTTGGTTGTAGCTGGAAACCCGTGTAGCTGTGCGATTTCCGTGTAAAAGGAGAATGTTCTTCCCGTGGTTATCCATAAAGTGCAAAGTCTGAGGCTGGAAATGAGGCTGAAGGTCAACCTGGGGGAAAAATAAAATCAGATTCAGTCATTGCGACAGACACACAGCGGCCCCTGTTTGTCATTGTGTCACCCTGTGGGGGGAGGGACAGACATAGCACCCCTTGTATGTGTCACCCTGCGGGGGGGGAGGAGAGATAGACTCAGCGCCCCCTGTCTGTGTCACTGTGTCACCCTGCAGAGGGAGGGACAGACATAGCACCCCTTGTCTGTGTCACTGTGTCACCCTACGGGGGGAGGGACAATCTCACAGCGCCCCCTGTCTGTTACTGTGTCACCCTGCAGGTGGAGGGACAGACACATAGCGACCCCTGTCTGTGTCACTGTGTCACCCTGTAGGTGGAGGGACAGATCCCTAGCATCCAGTCTGTGTCACCCTGCAGGGGGAGGGACAGACATAGCACCCCTGTCACTGTGTCACCATGCAGGGGGAGGGACAGACATAGCACCCCTTGTCTGTGTCACTGTGTCACCCTGCAGGAGGAGGGACAGACTCATAGCCCCCTGTCTGTGTCACTGTGTCACCCTGCGGGGGGAGGGACAGACTCATAGTGCCCCCTGTCTGTGTCACTGTGTCACCCTGTAGGTGGAGGGACAGATCCATAGCGCCCCCTGTCTGTGTCACTGTGTCACCCTGCGGGGGGAGAGACAGACTCAGCACCCTCGGTCTGCCTTGCAGGGGAACCATCTGAGATAAATCTCAGTCCAACTTACAGCTTGCTCTGCTTCCTCCTCTTCCTCGCTTTCCGATGTCACAGAGGGTGGTTTGGTGACGTCACATTCTTCTAGTACAGAGGAGCTGACGGTAGAGACTGCGGTGACACTTCCATGGAGGTCAAGTACGGCGTACACAGCCTGAGAACATATAGCTACATGGTAATCTACGTCTAAGCACATCTTTTATACAGTTAATGCAAAAAAAAAAACCTATAAAACAACCTGAAACCGATTATACTACAAAAAGAGAACAAAAATCCTTCTAGACTCCATAATAGCAAATCAGATTTCTCTTGGATCACCGAGCTGTCCCTATACATATTAAAGAGTTCATGTAGGGCTATGAAATTAACACAATTGCAGAGTAAAACCAAAGTTAAAGGTACACAATAGGCACCCCAGAGCATGTCAGCTCAATGAAGTGATCTGGGTGCAGTGCAGTAAGACATTGCAGGACAGACACTAGAGGCACTTCCTGGATTCTAACGGAGTTTGACTCCATTAAATGACGCTGGACGTTGTCACGCTCTGCATGAGGACATCCAGTGTCAGTGAGATCCCCATAGGAAAGCATTGACCACACTGCGCATGCATATCAGGTCCCCCTGTGGGATGAGGTCAGAAGAGGGGGAGTACGACCCAGCGCCGAGGGACATTTGCGCTGGAATCAGGTGAGTAAATAACCAAATCCTTAAAAAAAAAAAAGCGCCTTATTGTGGGCGCAACACGTTAGTGTTTCATTTTGTACTATTGGATTTATTATTTTGTTTTCAAATAAAATTAGATTATTGAATTGGGACCTTCCTGTTTTTACCTGTAGAATTTATACTTGGCTGTGTAGGATTGAGAGGAACTTTACACTGCTCTCACATATTCTATCAAAGCTGACCAGTACACGCTACCGACAGGATCGGGACTAGGATTGTACAGTCAAAGTGCAGATATCTGGAGGGCATTGTAAGTGCATTTCCTTTATCTTGTTCAGAATCACCAGCAACATAAATACTTCACTATATTCTATTTTATTGTTTGGTTTGTACGGATCTTGTATATTTTTAGACAGTGCTATCATATCCCCTCTGGGGAAAAGAAATCCACTGTCTCTAGCCTGTTTTCTTGTTTATGAGGTGAGTGAACATATACTAGGATCAGTAAAGCAAGACAAATTAGAGTTATGGTAAAAGTGACCTAGACAAGAAGCAGGATACAGTAGCTCACTTTATGAATTTAAGTAAAGTATATATTCAAGCTTAACCAACGGCAAATTATGTGGAAATTATAAGACCAGAACAAGGAACATACTTCAGAGCTGAAAAATCATTCTGCAATAAAGGTAGAGGTAGCACTCCACGTTGGAGCATAATATCAAAAACTGGATAATCCGGGCACGAGTCCAAGACACATCAACCCAGCAACCCATTAGAGGCATGAGCTGTATTGTGGTAGCCAGCTAAACCCGACAGACCCAGAGACGGACCAGAACCAACCCCCGATGTATGTAAAGGAGTGGAATCAATTTGGTCCTGGAGTCTGAATGGGGCAGCAACCCGGCATTTAAAGAACAGTTTCCATTTCAGAGACATCTGGGATTTTCAAGGTAGTGTCTTCCTTTGATGAAGGCTAGACACCGGGGGTAGAACCAGCAATATAAAATGTTATGTGATAAATAGGAAGTCAGAGCCTGTAGTTGTGGGAGGAGTTACCAAGCATATAAATACACAGGCCACCCCTTCCTCTGGACCCAGATGGTCTGGGTTAGTACAGAACCATCTACTTACGGTTCAAAGGCCATCAACACCACCTGCATAAACGCCAAACAAGTTGGTCTTGGCCTAGTGCGGCCCATGCAATTATTAATTTTACCTCACTCTAGTAAAAAGAGCCGCCTCCTTCGAAGCTCATGGGGCAACACTGCGTCCAGCCCAGCCATGGCTTTTCCTGTTTCCTCATTGTTTACATTAAAACTAAGTTTGTTCAGACCACAATGGGCTAGGCTATTACGGACATTCAACATGTATTCGCCCAATGTTCAGCCTTTCACGAACTAGGGAGGCATTCGCAGTTCAGTCCGTATTCTTCCCTCATCCGGATATGGCGAGTTTCACTACGAACACGAATTCAGCCTATTTCAATCATTCATAGCATCACAGTGATACCTCGATTCGGTTCATGTATTCTGCTCTAATTTGGACATGGCGAGTTTCACTACTAACATGAATTCAGCCTATTTCAATCATAAATAGCGTCACAGTAATACCTCGATTCGGTTCATGTATTCTGCTCTCATTCGGATATGGCGAGTTTCACTACTAACACGAATTCAGCCTATTTCAATCATACATAGCGTCACAGTGATACCTCGATTCGGTTCATGTATTCTGCTTATTGTATAGTGAATGCAGTGTTTGTGTAGTGTGTGTATATAATGAATGCAGTGTGTGTGTGTTTGTGTAGTGTGTGTATATAATGAATGCAGTGTGTGTGTGTTTGTGTAGTGTGTGTATATAATGAATGCAGTGTGTGTGTTTGTGTAGTGTGTGTATATAATGAATACAGTGTGTGTGTTTGTGTGTAGTGTGTGTATATAATGAATGCAGTGTGTGTGTTTGTGTAGTGTGTGTATAATGAATGCAGTGTGTGTGTGTTTGTAGTGTGTGTATATAATGAATGCAGTGTGTGTGTGTTTGTGTAGTGTGTGTGTATATAATGAATGCAGTGTGTGTGTTTGTAGTGTGTGTATATAATGAATGCGTGTGTGTGTGTTTGTGTAGTGTGTGTATATAATGAATGCAGTGTGTGTGTGTTTGTGTAGTGTGTGTATATAATGAATGCAGAGTGTGTGTGTAGTGTGTGTATATAATGAATGCAGAGTGTAGCGGAGCTGCAATATTAAATCCCAAGATCTCCGCTGGTACAGAAAGTAATCCAAAGTAAAGCGCTGGAATTAAGGCTGTGACGAGACCAATCTCGCCACATTGCATTGGAGGAGCCTGGTTTCCCGCCTGCTGCCTTTGGATTATGGACCGGCAGTTAAATGGTTAATTTTACTGTGCAGAAAGATTTATTCCTTCCTTTCTGCACAGCCGTTCGGTAGATTCTATCTACCGAACAAACAGACTTCTATCAGCCTCCCCAGAGCCGTGGGAAGTCGGCCGGCGCCGTTAATTGGCCACCCAGAAGCTGACATGTGCCCTCCATTTACCTCCCTGAACGAGCGTGTGCCGGCAATTGACCACCCAGTAGCTGCGGTTAACCGCAGCTTAATTGACTGTTACTGGGTGGTCGCGGTTACACCTAGCCGCCACACGATGGCAATGTTCTGGAGCTCCCCGGGCAGCCAGCGCTTTTCTGCCCGGCTTTCCTACGCCAAATCTGGACACTGTCAGCTAAGCACCGCTGAGCCTCCAGCCCCTGGTTCTGATTCGTACCAATTTAACGAATGTATGTAGATTCAGTATTTTGTGTTGGGGGAAATGTTTTAACCCAGATAGCTATGCCATGGAGCCTATTTGTGTAATTAAAGACTTTGGCTCCATGGCAATTAAACTGTATTCGTGTGGTCTGAGTGCCATTCACCTAATAATGTGCACTCAGACCTGAGCTATCTGGGGATATGTTACATATCTGTGTTTTATGTAGTAAATGTTACTTTATGTATTTTAAAGTATAATACTGGTTTTGTGTCCCCACATGTGTAATGGAGTTTTGCCTTTGTCTTGGGAGATAATTGAGTTACTTCTCAATTTTATCACATGACAGGAGGCTTCATATTTTGCATAACTTTCTTTACTTTATGCCTCCAGCAGCACAAGTCAATCAATAAACTTTAAACCAATCAGTAACAGGCATCCCATCCATATATAAAGCCCTGACAGTCACATGACTTCCTCTTTCTTTGCTGCTTACCAGCCAAGGCACAGGTCAGAGTATTTTGCTCCAAACTGTTTTACTGAATATTGCAATTGTCATTAGTTAATCATTTATTGCTTAACTTTCAGTTTGTTCCAAACTGTTTTTATTAATATTGCTATGGTCACTGTAGTTAGACACCTTATGCTAGACATTCAGTTTTAATCCTAACTGTTTTTTCTGGATACCACTTTAATTAAACTTTATTAATTGACTTTCAGTTTGCTCCAACTGTTTTTATTAATATTGCTATGGTCACTTTAGTTAGATTTTTAATGCTAGACATTCAGTTTTTGCTCCAAACTGTTTCTGGATATGCATGGCCACTTTTGTTAAACTTTATTAGCTTGTCCTGCAATTTTGGCCTAAACGTTTTTCATTATTTTGCACTTGCCTTCCATTTGGATTTGTATAGTGTGATATTCTCCCCTGTTACCCTTCCCCTGAATTAACCCTGTATTTTCTGCTTTATTAGCCTGTTTTCTGTTGCTGGCACCTTTTCTTTCCTATGCTTTACTCTGGTCTCGCATGGATCGCGGCGTTTTACCGCGAGCACGCTTTTTATTCATTGGTGCTGGGACTTCAGGGCAGGTCTCTGGGGGTTGGGGATGTCGGGGGGACTCTTTTCCATGCCGGCAGACCGCGATCGTATCCTCGATCGTGGGCCGCACGGCACTTTTGCGCGCGAACGGCGGCCATCTTGAATCTCGCGGCACTCGCGAGATTCACGTCGGCCATGTCGTTTGGCCAGTTCGTGATTCCCACGAACTGGCGGCTAGTTCTGTACTGTTTCATATATTTTTCCTGTGAAATAAAAGTTTTACAAGTACTTTTGAGCTCAATACTGTTCATGGGCATGTGGAATAAAGGTTTTATATGTACCTTTCCTGGAAGATTATGAATGGACTGTTCACTGCTGAGCTCTATACTGGCATATTTCATTGGCATGTGAAATAAAAGTTTTATATGTAACTCTGCATGAATATGTAGGACTGATCCCTGCTGTGTGCATCTGCTGACAGTTTGCTCTATTCTGTTCTATACAATTGACATGTTGAATAACAGTTTTATTGTACATCTGGAGGATTATGAATGGACTGTCCCCTGCTGTGGGTATATAGTGGATGCATTACTCTATCTACTGGCAGGGAAACTACTCCCACTGGACCTCACAACCATTGGATACACTCCTTCCCCACAGGGATCCACCTCCCAGGACACAGTAGTGG